GTTGTGTCCCACAGAAAGCAAGACTCAAAAAAAGTACCTTACTTCATCAAAACAAATGAATTTTTAGCCAATTAGATTATGGAAAGTTGGGTAAAAGTTAAAAAAAATCTATTAATATTTTTATGAATTTTAAATAGTTCAGAAGCTGATTTCCCCTGTCTACGTTGTACGCTATTTATATCGAAGCTGTCAAAATTAATTTGCAATATATTTTAAGTAGCTTATACATTAAGGCAAGCAGTATGTCATGTTCTAAAAATAAAAATGTTTGCAATTTTTAAATAAGTAAAAATTCAAATAACATTTTAATGCATATTTTTAAGTATTCATTGCCGTTTTAAGACATTAAAGCGCACGTAAATTATTATAGCAACTACGAATGTCCGAAAATTTTGCAATACGGTCAGTGACGAAAAATTTTAATTTAGTTTTCTATGCATAGAATTTACATTTACTGCATAAATGTTTATAAGCTGCAAACACACACATATATGTACATACACTCGCATATTATATTAAGTTTGCAAAACTGCTACATAAACAATCAAAAGCGAGGTTGGACACGACGTATACGTAACACAGGCCAACTGTTATTTCTTGCTTAGCTTTCACTCCACAATAACAAAACAACAACGTGCATAACAAATGTACATTTGCCTCAACGTCTGACGGACATGTGGGTAGTAGACTTTTTTTCATTCAACAGCGCGTAGAATACACAAATGGCAAACAACAATTAGATATATTTATATGGACTAGATGTTGATGTGTAAGTATGTGTGCGCATCTAGCGTTTGCCAACAATACAGCAGCGCCTATGTAATTGTTGTGTTTATTTTTATTAATAATATATATACATATATATATATATATATTCAATGTATGTAGCGGTGTTCGCTACGACGTGATCTGGCTACATTTTGCAGCGCCCACGCGCCATCACAGCGGTCGCTGCTACTTACACACAGTTATACACATACATCTGGTATATATCATATTATGCAGTAACAGCCAGCATTCATGGCGTTGGCCGAGAAAATGGCAATTCGCCGTCAAAAGCGAACTTGAAAATGTCAAATATTTGGTGGCGGTGGCCGCGCGCAAAATGCCAAAACAAATTGTGCCGAATATTCAGCGAAGCGACTCGTTTGTGATAATTGCTCATATATTTTTCTAATTTTTTCCTCTGAAAGTGTTTTTTTTTCTCGGTTTATGAATAAAATTTAGGGTAAACATTTTTATATGAAATTTTTGGAGCAAATTGGAAAAATTTTTGAACTTGAAAAAGAAATAACAGAATAAATTCAAAGAAATTCGGTATTTCGGCATGAATTTAAAAACTCCCACGACAATAATGCGTTGGGTTTATTAAATGATGTGCCTCAGTTTGCTTATACGAATTTATCTTCGAGGATAGGATTACGAGTAGAATAGAAAATCCTTCGAGTGGCTATTTTGAGTGTATCTTTTCATCATCAAACCCCTGTTACATTTATTTTAGACTGGTTTTTGCTATGACAGTATGAATTTCTTAGTTAATTTTGGGCATTGGAAGTCAGATAGTATTTTTGTCACAGCAATATGTTGACGAAATTCAGCTTGATTTGAAATCTGTGCTCAGCGAGCTGGTCTATCCTTCGCTGCAAATCCCTCCAGCAAATTTTATGTTATTTATGTATAAAGCTATTTTAGTGCATTGCAGAAGGACCCAGCTTCATTCGTTCTTGCAACGTCTAGCTGTACATCAGCGCCTTTTTACTTAAAAGACCGTGTAGGAATCATTAAAAGTAGGATCTGGCATCTAACGTTTTTGTTGTTTTCAATTGAAGCACATTTTAAACCATATTTCCTTTTCAACTCAACGGATACTTATCCTAAGGAAGGAGAAAACGATATTCTTCAATCATACGAGTATGTAAAAGAATCGCCTCTGGCTCATAGTCTTGGATAAAGAGCGCAAAGGCAGATTAAGCCAAGTCTGCTGGATACGTTCTTAGCTTTGATAAAGGAAGTTCTTAACGTTTGCAAGTGGCGCAGTGCGAAGTTTTGTTTTCTTTCCATGACAGCCATGAATTGATCATCAATACAATTAGGTGTTCAAGCATACCATTTCGAGGTATAAAAAGTGGGCTAAATAACAATTTGGTTTTGTGTTTTAAGGCACAACAAACCGGCAAACTTTTTAACGATTTTTTTTTTTTTTTTTTTTTTTTTTTTTTTTGATAATGTGGAATAAAATGATCAGTATTTATTTATTTTTGGATTTCGGGTGAGCAATCATGCAGAGACAATGAAATAGTTGTTTTCAACAGTTTACCGCTAATATGAATAACATATATTTGCCACGTTGATGCGATTTTCATGCGTGTTCCTGATATAATTTAAAAAAAATGTGTCATGATGTTTATCCAACAATTGGACTCTATACTAAGCCGCCTCCAAACAGCCCTTATTTCATTTAAAAAATACACTCTATAATTTTTGAATGTTGGTTAGACCAACAAGGCTTTGGTATTTTGATACCAGAAAGTTTGTGGATAAAAATTATATTAAATGAAAATTTTAATTTTTACTTAAGTCCTGTAGCACGAATATCAGCAATATCAATATCTCTACTCTAAGATATTTAATGCGCGTTTAAATGTATAAATTTTTGAAATTAATAATTTTTTGAATAATTTTTAAATTATGAAATTTTTTATACTGAATAACTGTATAGAATGTTGACTGTGGCATACGGAGAAGCTACCTTGGACCGAAGCAACGTTTATCGGTTGTATAAAATAACCTCAGAAGGCCGAGAAGATGTGAACGACGAAGAGCGTGCCGGACGCCCGAGCAATTCAACAACAGACGAAAAAATATTTTCAGGGGCGTGGTGCATCATGAGTTCTTGCCACAGGGTAGAACGGTCAATAAGGAATATTACCTGTAAGTTATGCGCAATTAGCACGAAGCAATCTGCCAGAAACGCCCGGATTTGTGAAAGAACAAAAATTGGCTTTTGCATCACGTTAACGCCCCTGCTCACACATCGTTGCTTGTGCGCGACTTTTTGGCCAAAAACAACACACTAATGATGCTGCAGCCACCGTGTTCCCCAGATTTGGCCCACTGTGACTTTTTCTTGTTCCCTAAAGTGAAGAGGCTCATGAAAGGACGACTTTACGCTACGATTGACGAGATAAAGACGGCATCGAAGGAGGAGCTGAACAAGATAAAAAAAATGATTTTTTGAAGTGCTCCGAAGATTGGAAAGACCCTTGGCACAAGTGTATAATACCTCATGGGGATTACTTTGAAGGGGGTAAAATAGATATTCATGAAAAAATCAATAATTTTTGAAAAAACACAAAATTCGCGATATTTTTTGAAGACTTTTGATTATGGCCTTATGGGTTGGCAACAAATAGGGCTAAACCAACTGTGAAACCAATTAGGGTTATAAATATGTTTCTAGAATATACTAGAAATTCTGTTGATTTTGAGCTAATTAGAAAAAAGCGTAAAATCTTTAATTCTCCCTAAATAAATAAATCTTCTCGACACACCCTGCAAAGTAGCACGCCCGTCGGATCTAGTGCTATTTTCATAATTCTTTTTTTTTATAAAACTACAAATGCTTATTTACGACCTTCTCATATATTTTTGACAACAATAAATAATTTATTGTATCTTTAAAGAAATTCCTGACGATTAATTTCACGCATAATTTCTCTACGCGCACTCAAGCAAAGATTATAGTTCGCTGCTGAAATTAATAAACAGACAAATAGATCAACACAACAAGCAGCTAACAAGTCGCCCACAAACAAATCACTCATTCATTCACAACAACACCCATTCACTTTCAAACACATTTCATACACGTACTTCCTGCCCACACGCGGCCCTTTAACACTTACCGCTGCAGTAAATGTTTATGCTCGCAAGCAAATTAGACGCCCACAAAGCAAACACCCACAACTATGAAGGAAACGGAAAGCATATGCAGAATGTTGTGATGGCGAGAAAAATAATTGTTTACCATTTGCTTTTGTTAAGAGCAATTTATGATCAATCGCGGCCAGCTGTAACTCGCGCTATACAGCAGTGGCCGGGTGATAAATGTGTGGGCAAAGCAAATATTATATGTAAGTGTATGTAAAAATTAAAATACAATAATTATATACATATGTAGATGAATATGCATGTGTGTTCGTTCACAGCGAGTGGCAAGCAGGCGGAGGCAACAGCCTTCACCATCAAAAGTGTCAACGCCATCACCTTCACCTCGACAGTCAGGCAAGAGCATATAGAAGATCACTGGCAGATACACACGATATATGTATAACATACACACATATATATATTTATATAATGTTGCTTACTTTTTTGTGTGTTTGCCTTGCTTTTCTCAGTATTTTCGCTTTCCTGCTAATTGTTTGCGCTGCCTGTCAAATGGAAATTTAATGTTTTGTTTTTGGCTTTTGAGTTTTAGTCGTCTTGCCTGCTTTTATTTATATAAACATATATATACATATGTATGTGTGAAAGCATAGATGTATAATATATTATGTGCTTATATATTTTATATTTATTTTGCAATATCTCAGTTTTTCACCCCCCTACGCCGAGTCCACTCTGACGTCACTAATATACTTATATTTTTGCGATCGTTTTCCGTTTTGTCTTCGCGTCTACATACTTACGTTTTGCTGTTCCATTTAAACATTCTAATTTTCTATACACTTTTGCATGATCGAAGGCGAATTTCCCGCTTTACTCTGCTTTGCACTTCTCTGCGTTTTTCCTTGAACCGTCGTGTTCTCTATGTCTACGCCTACAATGTAGCTTTATAGTCAATAATTTTCTTCTTCTTGTTTTATGCGAGTTGGCTAAAAACACTGAGTTTATATATATGTATATATATATGTATAAATTTTGTTTTTGTTTTGTCTTTACAGCCTATGTTTGTTCGATTTTATCGTATTTTTTCGGGAAAAAATGGAAACACAAATTGACCACTTGCGTCAGTTGAGAATTTCACTTCGCTCGAGTTAGAACATTCGTCGCAGACAAACGCGCATATTCCAAAAAGTATTTTGACTTAATCGTCTTTGTCGTGTACAGTTTTGCAAATTAAACAAAAAATAATATATAATGGCTGTAAGTGAAATTTATTACTAATAAGTTTTGAGTGAAAATTATGATTTCATTTGGTTTTGGAAAAAATAGATTTATATTGAGTGAGAGATACAGTTCTAGATCACAGATCGGTCAAAAATAATTCTGCGGGAGGAACTTATCATTTTTAATATTACATTAATGAGTATTTGACATTTTGGTACATATATAAGGATAAGATGAAACTAAGCTACCATCGAAAGGCTTCTTTTGCATTTTTATGAGCAATTTTACCAACTCACGTAGATTATTACCAAAGAATATATTACCAGGCAACTGCGGAAATTTTGGCTACTCAAAAGAATATTTTATTTCAAATTTCATTATAAGGCAGATTCCTAGATTCCAAGCAATTTTTTTTTAATATTTTGTAGATTGCATTGTCTCTGGCTTGTGTTGCGTGTGAATTAAGTTTGCTCGGAATAAAGATGAGTGTCTATTGAGTATTACGACATTTAAAATTTCGAGATTTTGAGTGTTGGATTTCGTTGAACACCAATTATTAGTTCAGCTTCATTAAACGCCATGAATCGTTGAAAAATAACCCGGCAATCTGTTGCACTAATTTAATCTGAAATTATCAATATTATTAGTTGATATTTTTTTACCGGTCACCTTTAGTGTTAGATTTGTCTACACAGTTATTTAGTCAATTTCAAGTTTCAAAAACAAAAAACTTTTACTTTTTAAAGAAACTATTACAAATATGATAAATAAGCGAGTTAAAAAAAAATGTATTAAGTAATAATAAAATTTTTGTGTTTAATTAAGTTTTTTGGAAAATTTTATGTTAGTCGCGCCCGGAACTTTTCGCGTGGCAGTATGCGCTGCTAAAATGTGTTTCCTTATGTTAAAAAAATTAAATTAGTTGCATAAATAGCTAATATATAATTTTATTTTTTTGTAAATTCTTAAAACTTAATTCAAACTAATTGAAAATTACCGATTTATCTATTATTTGAGAAGCAAATAAATATGACTTTTGAAGCCATCAATCAAGCTTAGTGAAACACACACGCTTTCGCATTCATACGCACGCATAAATAATATGATTACAATTAAATATTTACATTTGTAATTACCGCACTATTCAATTATTGATTGCATGATTTTAATTGCATTTTATTACGAATATTATGAATTTTTTTAGAATATACATACATATAAATACACTTCATTGATATGCGCATCCATTTATATCAAAGCGGCTAATTAAGATATCGCCACCACTTATTTTTTTCCAAATAGATATGATACAAAAATAGCAAACTACACACACAAAGGGCATAAATGCAACCGCAAACATTAATAATTTGTAATTACATTTAAATTTATTATTTAATTATGAATTCTATAGAAAGAGACTTATGAGTTTATTACGAAAAAAAAATTAGTTTCAGCTCAAAATATTTTTAGCTCTTTTGCCACCTTATTATTAGTATTTAAATATTTATAATGGAAACACATTTATGAGTGGATTTGGTGTAAATTTTTTTCAATCCGAAATGGGTAAAATTAGAAAATTTGGTAAAAGTTAGTAATAAGTTGCTAATAATATTTTGGGTAAAAAACTAAGCCTTGTTTTTGCTTAGCTAGAAGGAAATTAAAAAAAAAACTGACCCCTTAATAAATGCCTCAAATACAAAAATTAAGTTCACAAAGCATAGATTTACATATGAATGTAGGGAAAATATTAAAATAATTTTCCCAACTTTCATTGTGTTTGTTACAACTATTTCCGGTAAATTTCCCTTTATTACATTTAAATTGTATTATTTTATATTTTATTTTATTAATTCCTTAAAGAATTTTTATAACTTATGATATTTTATTTTAATTAATTTGATTTTTTCTTCAATTTATTTCATTTTATTTTATTTATTATTTTTTAGTTATTTTTTATCTTACTTTATTTCTTTTCATTTTGTTAATTTAATTTAATTTTTCCGTTTTATTTTTTTGTTTATTTTTTTCTTTTATTTTATGTTATTTTTCCTTAATTTTATTCCATTTTATTTTATTTTATTTTTTTACCTAAATTTATTATGTTTTTTTATTTTATTTTATTTATTTGCTTTGTATGTTTTTTTGTTTTCTTTTATTTATTTTATTTTATTTTATTTTTTTTTATTTTATAACATTTTATTTTATGTTGCTTTATTTTTTTTTATACTACTTCGTTTTACTTTATTTAATTTTTTCTGTTTCATTTCTTTTATTTTATTAGTTTTTAATTATATTTATTTTATTTCATTTCATTTAATTATTATATGTGTTTTTTTTTAACTTTTTTTATTTTATTTTATTTTTTTTTTAATTATTTATTTATTTAATTTTTTGGTTTAATTTTGCCTTCTTTTTTCTTTTATTTAATTTATTTTTTATTTTACTTTACTTCATTTTATTTTCTTTTTTTCATTCTATTTTGTTAATTTTTATTTTATTTTCCAGTATTTTATTTATTTTATATTATATTTTTTCGTTTTATTTCATTTTACTATATTTTTATTTCCTTCATTAAATTTTATTTTATTTTATTAATTTATTTTTTTTTAATGTTATTTGAATTTTTTTCATTATATTTTCTTTAGTTTATTTTGTTCAATTTAATTTAATTTCATTTTATTTTCTTTTTCATTAATTATTATTTTTAATTTATTTCATTTTATTTATATTTTGTTTAAAGTTTTTTTTCTTTTTCTTTTATTTAATTTGTTTTGTTATTTTACTTTACTTCCTTTCATTTTCTTTTTGTATTTCATTTTGTTATTTTATTTTATATTTTTTTAGTTTATTTATTTTTAATTTTATTTCCTTTTTTTATTTTATTTAATTAAAAATGGATAAAATTATTTAATTTTTTTATGATTTTATTTCATTTCATTTTATTTTATTGTATATTTATTTTATTCTAGTTATTTTAATCACTTTATTTTACTTTATTTTTTTTTTTATTTTATTTTTGGTATTTTTTTTTTCAATTTATTTTCATTTGATTTGATATTATTTTGTTTTTTATTTATTTGTTAACTTTTGTTTACTGCTTTTGCATTTTCGTAATGAATTATAACGCTGTTTGCATAACTCAGTAATCTAAATTTAAATTATTCGCAAATTTTCTATTGTTTAAAATACGTTACATGTGTCTCTGTTTGCAAATTTGGTTATCTAATTTTTGTTTGTATTAATGAGACCACGAAATTAAGCTTTAGTTTAATTAATTTTTAACAGCACAAAAGTTTTGAGGAGTTAATACTTATTACTAATGCATATATGTAAATACAACAAAAAAAATTATTAATAATTAGAGAGTCTTATTAATTCTCTATCTGTCTTATAAATTACAAAACAAGGTGAGAAAAATTAAAAAAAATTACTGCTAAATTACTAGCAATATTAGTAAATAATCAATAAAATAAAATTTTGTATGTGAGAAAGCAAAAATTTGAGCAAGTGCTGCATTTAAAAATTATTTAATCCATTTAAATTTACAAATTTTACACTTTCCTCACTTTCTCAGGTCGGACGAAAACTTATTTAACTTTTTTTTGTTCAGCCTATATGTTTTAATCAAATTTTAATTTGCGGTCGACAACTAATAGGTATTCAATAAAAAATACTTTAAGGGATATAAATAAAAAAGATTCAACAAATAAATCTTGTATGAAAATCCACCAAAACAGCGACGAACCGGATAATTGAAATGCGGTTGAATACAAATTTGTATTTAATTGAATGCGAGGTTCTCGTGATTGTTGCAGTTTGACGAGTTTTTTTTAATAAATGCAAGGCGGGATTATACGTTTTGTATGTGTGTGTGTGTGTCTGTGTGACAACGATTAATTTAATATTTGCATGCGCTGACAATAACTGATGAAAGCTACCACGGATATTTTATTAATATTCCGCCCAAAAATATAATTTTCTGTAAACAAAAAGTGTTTTCAAACAATAAATTTTTTATAGAAAAAATTAAACCTAAATATGGTTTGCTGAATCGGGAAAAGGTAAATTAAGAATATGTTTTTTAGGTTAGTAGAAGAAATATGTCACTGTGTAGACTCCACATAGAGTGATCCCACCTTCATTTCTCTGAGCAACTCTCGTCCAACTTGAGCCAAGCTCTTAAATAACTTCTGGTGTCGTTATGTATTTAGCGAGACATACCATATATAATTTTTAGTTTTAAGTACAATTTTATTTGAGGCTTTGTACCTGCTGAAGCGATTTTTCGGTCGAGCTCCTCGTTCAATTTGTAGTTTTGCGTCTTGATGTTTTTCCAACAAGTGAAGGGACCTATAGTTTATACTAAGCCGCCTCCGAACGGCTAATGTTTTATTAAGAGAAGAATTTATTTCATACACACCGAGGTGTGGACATTCCTTGCAATTAGAAATTAGAAAATTTGACAAAATTTTTTTGGATGTTGGTGGCACCGGGATATGAACCCGAGCCATACGTATTTGGGTACGCTATGCTAACCACTCGGCTAGCGCGGCCGCCATATATACAATACATAAGTAGAGACGAGTCGATCCAAAAGTTGTATACAGAAAAGTACCTATTGGATCACTTCAGCGAACCATAAGGTCCGACAATGTGGGTATGCAGCAACAAGAAAACAAGTAGTATATAAGCGCAGCAAAAAAATGAAGTACAATGCAAATGGAATGAATTGTTTTTCCTCTATTAAATGCTTTATAAATGTGTTTTAGAGTTTTTTTTAATTAAAAAAAAATGATATGAAAAATTGATTTAAAATAAAAATGAATAAAAAAGCCTGCAAATATTTGTGCTGAATTTTTCAAACGAAAATAAAATAATTATATATTTATTATTACACATCTGTTGTTGTTTACGCAAACGACAAATGCTTGCTCAGTTTGTTTATAAATTCAAAAAAAAAAAAAAATTGTATAGAATAAAAAAATTAAAAAAAAATGAATGCCATTAAAAGCAAAATAATGTAAGCTGGCGAATGT